CAGTATAACTTAAAAAGTAAAGGAGCTCTAACATTTAAACAAGAGGCATTGTATTCAGTATTGTTTAACTTAAATTTTGGTATATATACCACGTGCATTTTAATACAGTATTAACTGTGATAACCAGGGATGCCGGAAGTTGCTGAGGGCAAGGGGTGCAATTGGTTAACAAAAGGGCATACTTCACCAATGAAAATGAAAGGGCGTCATGATCCAACATTCGTGTCGACCTCCTTCCCCGTCACCAATTTTTTTCGGACCGAATACAATTATTTAGGCACAATTCCTCTGTAATGCTTCAATAAAAATTCCATAAGTAATGCTTTCCGTTTCACCTTTCGCCAAATGGATAACAACTTTGCCGAATTCCTGACGACTGCGGGGTGGAACACCCCCACACACATCCTCAAGCGACGTTTAATTCTGTCTGCTGTAAAAGTTTTGTGCACCCGATACACCCATAGTCTGCACCCCCACTGCGCCCACAAAGTTGAAAATGCAAAAGGCAAGGTGCACTTGCACCCGCTGCACCCGTGGTTCCGGCATCCCTGGAGATAACTGCGTTTAAATTTGAGTTAACGTTTCTGGAAATGTCGAAAATTAGCGAAGAACGGCCTATTAAATCTTTATACCACAATAACACTGCAGAAGAAAAGTATTCGTTCGTTTTCCAAATAAAAATGCTATTAGGAAATGCATGTCCCCCAACAAGAAGTGCAATTTCTTGCCCGTGTTGGCATGCAGTCGAAGGAATTTCGGATCATCTGGGGATTCAGGTTGCGGGTATGCTGTTACAATTGCCTCACGAAGCTCTCTAAAATTATTTGGTTGTTGAAAATTCCAAATTCGATGCTTCAAGTAGCCCCAAAGAAAAAAATCGCAGACTGTCAGGTCAGGAGAACGAGGGGACCAAGGCGAATCATCCCGTTTACTCTTCAGTCGATGTCGGCTAGGAAATTGCCCCCGAAGATATCGAATAGTTGCGTTACTGGTTGTCAAAATTAGTTTAATAGGCCGTTGTTTGCGAATTTTCGACAATTTTAAAAATGTTTACTTATTTTCAAACCCAAATATCTCGGCCAAAACTATGTTAAAATACACATGCCATATACCAAAATTTAACATTACAGAACTAAATGCTTTTTGTTTAAGTGTAATAGCTCTTTTAAATTGCAAGTTATACTGAATCAAACAGGGGTACTTTTTTGGGGGCCACCCGGTATATGGACATTGTGTAACGGGCAAGGTCAAGGTTAGGGTAAGGGTTTGGTTTAGGTCTACGGCTGGGTTTGAGCTACAGGGTTAAAATAAAGTAAGTTAAGGGATTTTTACTGCGAGAACATATATCCGAGCGGAATTTTAATTATTGTCTAAACTCTAAAGTTGCCATAGACATGTGGATGTGTAAAGTTGTCATGGTGTGTGGATGATACTCTGAGTGTGCATCCACACCGGGCAAGCTGAAAAGTTTGCTTGGCCACGGTGGGAATCGAACCCGCGACCTTTGGGATACTAGTCCAATGCTCTGCCAACTGAGCTAAGCAGTCATATTCACCTAATCATATTCACCTGAGTACACAACACCAACACACACAAATATGTGGATGATGTTAACAAGGGTATATTATATACCTTTATATACGGACAATACATGCAATTTGTATTACAATTATTACGAACATCTACATTGTTAGCAAATTATTATGTAGCTATATTAGACTGTATCGACTATCCGGTTACAGTTGTATCTGACGAAGTCGAACCGTTAAATTGCATTGTCCAAACGCAGGTTTAACCTTTTTCTAAAGCTGTTTAACAAAGCTATTAACGTCAACTGATAGTAGTACACAAGGGAATTTATGACAAAATTGGAATGAAACAAAAAATAAAAACATGTACATGTGAACATGTTCCTTGATAGTGTTACCGTGACTTTTGTTGACTAAATCAAATACCAATAGCGGTGAAAGTGTCAAGACATAAAGAAAAGTGACTTATACATTAATTATTGTATGAAGAAAGCGTTTTTGCTTATGAAGGTTTCGCTTTCGTGTTTCTGTTGTCGCTTCTCCTTTGTTCCATGATGTGTTTCCACATTGTGAATCGAAATACTTCGCCTCGTTCTTCACACGATAAATCATTTAATATAAAGCAAGCACGAACACAGCTATCATAATAATGGCACCCAAAAGTCGAAAACCGGCGACACAGCGACAGCGTTTTCGAGATCGTTTTTGAAAGCTATATTCAGGAATGCGAACAGCCATTGAAAAATTATAACCGCCATTGCTTGCTTCCCATTCGTAAATACTCGGTATTTGAAAGGATAACAAACAATAAAACAGCGGTCCAATGCGAGGAAGAAAATACTCAGAAATGAAATAAACAGAAGCCGTGAATAAACGAAAAACAATGATCAGTACATGTATGTCTGCCAATAATACTTCACAAACTTGTATAAGCATAACATAAGGTCTGAGAACGTATTATTCATTATAAGATACGATGAACAATTTCTGAACCGCCTTAGAGGATCTTTTACCAGTCCATAGACAAACGTGAGTTACACAAAATTCCAGCCAAAAGTGAAAGTTGACAGCAAATGGCATAGGCCTTGTTATCAGAATGTGGGTTTATTAAACAAGTTTCAGTTATATTTATATTCATTTTAGGTTTTAATGAAACGAGTGTGTGCTGAACACCTCTATAAAGCCGAAGTAAACAAATAAATCATCGCTTCTTTAATGACTTTTAAAGCGAAGTCGTGGTTGATTAAGATCTAATGCAATATAGATAGCCCGATGACATGTTATTAATTTTATATCTTGCTGTGAAGTTGTTAAATAAAATAAACAGGAAATAGGACCACATGCTGACATGCAGGCTTAAAAAATGAGTATTTTAAATTACTCGTCTGAACAAAATAGGGCGAAGACCGTCAAAACGAACTATCTGGGTATATAGTTCATCTTCTGCGACGATGTATTGGTTTAATCTAAAATTAAACCACAAATGCCTCGCAAAACGTTTCAAAATCCGGTTCATAAAACAAAACTGCCTTTTATTGATAAACTTTGTAGGCTATAAATTTTGCCAGTTTAAAATAAAATGATTTCAAATTATGCAATTCTCGCATGAAAATAACTTTGCTCCCCTCTTTACTTAAAGATTTTCAATAATCTAAAATAACATAAACGGGTATGTAATGCAACATCAGTTTTTAAAGCAAACAATACATGAATATTTAAAACAAACTTGCCTTAGGTTTTTATTTTCAGCAGTCTATTGTCCCACTGCATGTTTGCTGCTTGTCTCATTAACGCGGATTTTTCGGGTTTCAGAACAATGTTTTTTCTATTTTCCACCCGTAAGTCATTGTATACTTGTTTCAGGGCATTTTTTAACTATATAACTGGGGGGGCCAAAGCCCCCCCCCAGCCCCCATGGTGGCCCCCCCCCCCCACTCAACCATTTTGGCCCCCACCAGTCAAAGTCCCTTTTCTCTAAAATATAAGCAAAACATGGAATTTAGAAGGGAGGTTTGATATTCTAGTAACTGAAATTTGCTTTGTGAATCTTATGTCCTGTCTTTTATGTTTAATAAATACCTTATTAGATTTTAAACATTTCCCAGGCAGTGGTTTGCATTTCCCAGACCCTATAGATTTGAGTTGTTGGACAAGTTAGTGACCGCAGGGGACAACAGGCCCTCAACCAAGTGTTTTATAAGGGGGGGGGGGATAATTTTGGCCCCCCACCAAAAAAAACCAATTTGATTTCGAAACTAGAAGTATTTGAAATCATATATACATATAATCAAATATCTGTAATCGATATTTTGATAACATTTCTCCATCCTGACTCGTGGATATCATAGACTCACAAATCATAATGAACGAATTAATGAAAGGGCCTAACAAGAGACGTATAGAAGACTTTGAAAATGCCATTTCCCACGATTTAGAGACGCAAAATTTTCAAAATTTTTCCGCTCTGTGCCAACCATGGTGGCGTTTCGTGGGAGTCGGGAACTCTAAGTTTATCAAGCTGGCTCCCTAAGTGACGGCCAAGTTGTGGTATCTACATAAACATACTATGCAAGTACTTAACTGAAGGTTCAGTCTATCTACAGCATAATGTAATGCTGTATATCCAAAAATCTGTTTCAGAAAATGCAGGGAATTGCAGTCATAGGGGTAGAAAAATACAAATATTTTCTAGGGGAGAAAACCCCAGACCCTCTCCAGGGCCGTAGCGTCATTCATTTTTCAAAATCATGCAGACCTTTATTATTTAATCCATGACAAACTGCAAAGAATGAAGATATTACCCGTACTTTCTTGCAACTTATCCAATATATCGTTAATTAAATACACCTTCGTCCATTTAGTACTACTGAATTCTAAATTTGCACATACTAAAAACGCTGTTTTCTGACAATCAGAAATCTGTCAAATCTTCCCCCAAAGTCCAGGAAATGGCATTTCAGAGACTCTAAATTTAAAAATTTCCTCGGGCCTTCGGCCCTCGCTTTCAGCCTCCCCCCAACGAAAAGAGCTTCCTACGGCCCTGCTCTCCCCCCCCTACTATTAAATGCGATACCACACCAAACTTTTTGTTACCATGCAACAAACCATCTATCATTGCTCCACACTCGGTATAGTAGATGGCCCCCCCACTGACGAATTCTTAAAAAATGCCCTGACTTGTTTCACTCCTGCAATTCGCCATATTTTTGAGATCAGTGAGGAGGTTCACCCATGACAATGCTTCAAAGAAACAGCGAAGATAAAAACGTGGACAGAATATGGTTACTTGGAAAAATTTAGAAGCAAAAACCTTTTTAAAAATAAAGGGACCGAAGTCGGTAGCCAGGAATAAAAATGAAATGATAAGATCTCTGACTTTCAAGCATTTACATACCCTTTTCTAGATATATACTTAATAATGTGAACAGAACGTTTGTTACTGTTCACATTATTAAGTATATATCTAGAAAAGGGTATGTAAATGCTTGAAAGTCAGAGATCTTATCATTTCAAAAACCTTTTTATTTAGAAGTATGCAACAAGCACTTAATTGTTTTGTCTATAAAAGTTCATAGAATAACTGCATGTTATTTACTCTACTCTAGTTTGTGTTACGACGTTGTTTACATGCATGCATACAAATGTTTTTTACAACACTTAAATTGCCGTTGGAGTGATACATAGAATACGTCAAGTTGCCGCCATTGAATGGCTTTTTGATTTTTGTTGACTAAATCAAATATCAAGAGCGGTGAAAGTGTCAAGACAAAAACACAAGTGATATACATTATTGTGTGAAGAAAACGTTCTTGCTTGCAAATGCTTCGCTTTCGTGTTTGCGTTGTCGTTTCTCCAGCTGGCGATGTGTTTCCACTTTGTGAATCCAAATATTTCGCCTCATTCTTCAAGTGATAAATCGTTTTGAAATAAAACAAGCACGAACAAAGTGTTATAACAATTGCGCCCGAAAGTCGAAAACCGGCGACAGCGTTTTCGAGATCGTTTTTGAAAGTTATATTCAGGAATGCGAACAGCCATTGAAAAATTATAACCGCCATTGCCTGCTTCCCATTCGTAAATACTCGGTATTTGAAAGGATAACATACGATAAAACAGCGGTCCAATGCCAGGAAGAAAATACTCAGAAATGAAATATAAAGAGGAGCCGTGAATAAACGAGAGACAATGAATCCATCAGTACATGTGCGCCAATAATATTTCGCAAACTTGTACAAACATAACAAAAGATCCGAGAACGTATTATTCATTATAAGATACGATGAACAATTTCTGAAGCATCTTAGAGGATCTTTAGCAAGTCCGTAGAGCAGTATTGAGTTGCATAAAATTCCAGCCAAAAGTGAAAGTTGACAGCAAATAGCATAGGCCTTGTTATCAGAATGTGGATTTAAACAAATTTTAGTTGTATTTATATTCATTTTATAGGTTTGAATGAAATTGAGTGTGTGCTTAATCACCTCTAAGCCGAAGTGATAAGTAAACAAAATTAACAAATGAATCATCGCTCCTTTGACAAGTTATCGTATAGTTATATATTGCTGTGAAATAAATAAACAGGAATGGATTCTGGACTATTAACTGCACTGCAGGCTCAGAAAATTATTATTTAAAATTGTTCATCTGAACGAAACAGAGATAAGTACCGTCAAGACGAAGTATATCTGCAGGAGTATAGTTTATCTTCTGCGACGTTTTGTACAAAAATATTAGTTTTGTACATCAATGTAAATAGTGTTTATTAGGCAATTTGATTATAGATTTAAAGTTTGTTCGTTCACTGCAACCAGGTAAATTTAATCAATCATGTTTCGCTCGCTACTCTGGTTTAAATAAATTATTACAAAGCCCAGTCGAATTGTAATCAAAGCTTCATCAGGGGTGATCTAAAGATGCAATCGTGGCTTCTTAAATACCCAAGGGATGACGTCACCTGCCAAGGAGATGCATGTATTCCTCTGGCAAATAAGCACCGTCATCCCTATTCAAAGCATGATTACTCATATTTATATGCTACGCTTCTAGGCAAAATCTTTGACCATAGCGATTGTTTGTGGTAATTACTTTAGAGTTTTCCCACGCAATCTCGTGTTTGGTGTAACACACATGTTCTGCTAAAGCTGAAGCCATGATTCTGCTGAAGCCATGATTCTGCTGAAGCCATGATTGCATTTTTAGATCACCCCTGATGAAGACACTAGACTAGAGTGTCGAAACGTTGGATCTTGATTACAATTCGACTGGGCTTTGTAATCATTTATTTAAACCAGAGTAGCGAACGAAACATGAATTTGATTATGTATTGTATTTTAATTGTTACACGGCTCTTTCAAAACCAGGAAACTAAAAGACCACCGTGTATGTAAATAAGTTTAAATAATAATAATAATAATAGGTTTAATGTAAAATTAAAGCACAAACGCTTCGCAAAACGTTTTAAAATGTTCATAAAACTAAACTTGTCTACCTTTTATCGATAAACTTTGTAGGCTATAAATTTAGTGTTTAAAATAAAATGATTTTCAAATTATGCAATTCTCGCATGAAAATAACTTTTCTCTTCTCTTCTCTTTATTTAAACATTTTTAATAATCCAAAATAACAGAAACGGGTATTTTATACACTGAATACACTGTCTTTTTTTCATTAATATGCGCAACATCAGTTAAAGCAAACAATACATCAATATTTAAAACAAACTTGCCTTAGGTTTTACATTTTTCAGCAGTCTATTGTCCAATATTTGCCTGCATGTCTCATTAACGATCTTCCGGGTTTCAGAACAATTTAATGTTTTTCCTTCCCCCTCCCCCTCCCCCCCGCAAGTCATGTATACTCGTTTCACTCCCGAAATTCGCCATATTTTTTAAGATCAGCGAGGAAGGTTCACCCATGACACCATGAAACAAAGCAACGCACCCGCGATTATTGATGAACTTTATACTTCGCTAATACTTTCCTTTTCCCGGGTGTATAGCCTAGCGGAATTAGTCCCTCGCCCCGGGATAACGCACAGAACGGCGCTTCGCACTGTTTGCTCGGGGATAAATATTTGCGTGTCATTATATGCAAAATACAGCATTTTGATTGGCTCCTGAGCGGTCGCGCTACGAATCAGATAAACTGCCCCGAAGAAAAACTTAAACTCTTTTCCCAGTAAAATCCTGCTAGTATAAAGAAAACAAGATAGTGCGCGCCTCAGGAATTACCAAAGTTTTGCAAACGGGAAAAAAGCAAGTTATTCGCTTTTTATAGCCTTAACAGAAATAAAAACACAATGAAAAACTCCCCGAAATTAAATACATTGTTTACAAGTTAACAATGCCGGAGAAAGAGCGAAGATAAAAACATGTACATGCAGAATATGTTTACTTTAAATTAAAAGCAAAAACCTTTTTAGAAGTCAATAAGCACTTGTTTTGTCTAAAAAACCTTAAAAATTCAAGTTTCAGCAATGTTCGAAGTACTGACTGATTTAAGAAATAAGCATGCAGCGGCCAGCAGTGTTTTCTCAGGTTTAGGCCAAGTTGTGTGGATTGCCAAACTATATATAACTATGATTTTTCTGTGTTGGTGTAATGTACTCAGGTGAATATGATGCTTGTGATGTTACTCTGAGTGGGGTCGGTACAAAACCTGGACCCCCACATTTGGACCCCCTTATGGACCCCCACATGGGCCCCTTATGGACCCCCTTATGGTCCCCCATATGGACCCCATATGTATCCCTTACAATAATTCATTACAAAACAAGCATATATTTTCAGGTTTAGCATATTTCCTCTATTTGACCAAGAGAGTCTTATTTTTCCAGCTGTGATCATGCATGAATTAAAGGTTTTAGAAGCGAAGAACTATACTTTAGTATCTTTGAACACTCTCCTCTCATTTTCCAGGCATAAATTTTAATTTTAATCTGAACTTTTTAATTATTTTCAACAATTTTTCATTATAATTGAATGGTGACTGGGGGATAATAGTGGTAATATGGGATTATAAA